ATGAGTCCTGAAGAGGACGAAACACGCATCCTAAATTCCACTTCTAGCCACTATCCATCAAGTTGCTACTGTTATTGTTGTTATTATTATTATTACTATTATTTTTCTCTCGGGTTCCTAATGGAACATAGGACTTCAGTAACATGTCTCAACTTCACTCTCTTCCCTGCAGTCTTTTCAACTTGGCTCCACCACTGTCCATAACCTTTCATTTCTTCCTCACACCATCTCCTCCATGTCACTCTTGGACACTCAACTAGCCGTTTCCCATTTTGGTTCCACTCGGTGACTTAGCCTTGCAAGTGGTTTCCCCAATAGGCCTTCTCAGTGTATGTTTAGTCTATCTCCACTTGATGGGTGGTGGGTTCTTGGTTGGTTGGTTGTCAGGACAGAGTTCCTTGTTATTTATTCTTTCTGGCCACCTGATCTTCACTATCCATCAATACTATCAATAATGTTCGTAGTTATGCTGAAACTAGGGCTGAAGTTGCTAAATATCCTTAGTCACAGTTGGACTCCAACCACCTATCTACACGTTATCGGTCAGATATCAAGTGAAATAAGCCACATGACTTGTCACTTGCCCTTTTATCCTATTTCGCCAGTTTTGCGTAAAGCTGACTGGAATGCTGCTGTAATCAAGTATGAATACTTGTAGTTTGTTTACCTGACTGATGGGGGGCGGCCTGCTTGAACTTTGGGCTACCAAATTTATTCACGGAACATTTTTCATTAAATCCTTTCCTTTCAATTTGTTTTAATCATTTAAATATATCCATTGGATGTTTCATGTACTCTTGCATACTTTTAAACTGTTTCCAACTCTCCATTTCTCGAGTCAATAACAAAGTAGAGAAAAAGTAATACGTTTTATGGAACTGGACTTTTGGGTGTAAATAAGTACATCATCCATCAGATGCTTAGCTTGACTTCCAGATTTTCGTATCATCTGAATGAACTGCCACCACCACCAAAATTACGTTTGCATTTCTACTAAGTCTTCATTATGGATCAGATGCCCACCCAGCTGGCTATTTTACATTATTGCCTTGAATACTGTTATTTTAGTGGGCGTCGCTGATAACAGTGGATATAAGTAGTATATATTGAGAAGGTGGCAGAGATCATAGGGAATTACCAGCAATCAGTAAGGATTCTGCCAAGAGCAATGCAAGGGATAACGCAGGCATATTACAATGGATGCTGCTGATAAGAATGTATGAAGAGCAAATCAAGAGAGAATGAGAAGTGAAAGCGAAGCTTATTTTACAAATGACAGGTTTAGTGCAAGGTGTACCATATGTAATGACTGCCGTCCCAATCGATAACAATTGGCACTCTTTCCGTTGTATCCGTCTTCTTGTGACTGCGTTGTTGTTAACACTTATCCTATGTCCTATGTATTGACTAACCGATTTGTCTGGAAGTATTTCTCTGGGAGTGGATTCATTGAAAAATTACATGCTGAGAATTCCACATACTGTCATGCATATTTAGTGTTCTGCTTGTATTATACCGTCGTTGATTGGACCGAATTGATCAATCTCTGTTGGCATATGGGCTCCTATGCGGATGCCTCGATATTGTCTCTCTTTTAACTATGTATAGTAATGATGGGCATTGGCTAGCAGTGGGATCCAGGATACAAGCAATAACACTAAACGCATACTCGTCGCACAAAATGTGGCTATCGTGCCTTCATGGAGTAGTGGATAAGGCTCTGTGGTTTGGATCGACCGCTCCGAGTTCTGGTGGGAACAACATCACTCAATGGGAGGCAGGTACATCCAGCTGACGAGTTCCAAATAGGACGAAATGCGCATCCTCGATGCCCTTGCTCATATTTCTATACATGTCATGTATATTGTTTGAAATAAAGGGATTATAATCATTGGAATTATTAATCTTCATATCCCTTATTGACTGCAGAAGAATCGAGGTTGAATTAGAGGCTTGCTCTTCTGGATCACTGAGTGGAGCATGAATGCTGACGAAGTAAAAGTCACTGGATAGGATTTTTTCACTTTACACATCATTCTTAAAGCAATGACCGTCTCCAAAGGTTTACAAATTTTATGGAGCTTAACTTCATGAAATATTCTTGCTAAGTACTAATTGGAGGGAGGCAACTAGCATGAAAACCTGTACCTGAGTTTTGCGCTTGTTGACACCTACCACTCAGCGCCGGAGTCAGAGACTATACCAACGAGCTATTCGTGCCATGATCGACCTCCTATAGAAGTAGACCAAGTACATTTATTGATGGCTGTAGGGTAATCAACTTTGATCGTACTGTAATATTGCCACCAACCTAGAAAATTCACCATCGTGATCCACTGGCATCCATGTTTATCGAACTGAGACAACAGGCAAGAAGCTCTGCTTGAACTATGCTTCAGTGATGTCATTTAGTATAACTTTTGTGTTATTGTCAAACAACCAGTCGGAAGTGAAGTGGATGCTAACTGAACACCTTGGGTGACAGTCGCGCTATGTCGTGAATTTACAAAAGTTGGAAATTGTGAACCATTGGAAACTCAGTGGCTGAATGGTTAACACGGTCACCGCGAGACCTGAAGGTCCTGAGTCCGATCCCTAGACTGGTAGTGGATGCGTACTGCTGAGGAGTCCCACACTAGGACGAAACAGCTGTCCAGTGCTACCAGGTTTTCAATGCTTCCCTAACTGATGTCACTCCATGATGAATTCTACTTGTAAATTAAAAATCTCCATTCATCTCAAGAATGATGAAAATTATCAATAGCTGATGTGTTGTACAGAAATGTTTATCTTATCTAATGAAAAATTGATTAGTTTCTGTTACTATGACAAGAACTATGTTGTGATATAAGTGTATCCTAGTAATTTCTAAATGATAAAAGTTTAAGTCAATGGGAATCCCTCTTAAAGCTTAGGTCCTGACGGTGTTTCTAGTATCATATTTAGAAAGTGTGCAGATATTTTGTGTCATCCACTTACAGATATCTTCAATGTATCGTTCTCTAAAAACATAATACCCACTGCTTTGAAGCAGATAAAAGTTGTACCTGTGCCTAAGCCATCTTCTGGATCAGATGTTACTTTTCGACCCATTGCTATAACTTCTCCTTTTCTGAAGACAATGGAGAAATTACTTCTGCTTGTGATTGAGCCTTCAGAGATCCAAAACAGTTTGCTTACAAAGACCGGAGGAGTACTTTAGATGCTGCTACTGTCTTGCATCATAATATTGTTTCTAGTCTCGACAAAGGTGTCAAGTATGTTTGTTGTGCCTTTTTGGATTACTCATCAGCCTTTGACTCTATTCCTAGACCACTTTTGTTAACTAAGCTTTTCATAAGTCACACTGAGCCATGACTTGCAAAATGGCTGCATTCTTATTTTTCTGAAAGGAAACAGTACACTCTTCATAAAGGGATGCGCTGGACTTCATTGCTTACTGAAGCTGGTGTGTCTCAAGGTGCTGTACTTTCTCCTTTTCTGTTGTCCTTTTTCTTGCACTATTTGCCTTATTCTGGTGAAACTAATTTTATCAAGTATGCTGATGACCTGACGATTTCTATTCCAGTAAACTCTTCTTTGGATTGCTCGAAATTAAATGAATTCTTGTCTGAAGTTGGTAAATGGTCTCTCTCAGATGGTCTCAAACTGAACCCCTCTAAATGTCAGTACGTTAATTTTAGCCTCTGGCGTAAACAAGACTTATGTGAGCTGTTTAAATCTCATGGCGCCTGCTGCATCAATGGTATTTCTGCAGAAAGTAAATCGAGTGTGAACTATCTTGGGTTGGGATTTACTTCTGACCTTTGTTGGCCGTCCCATATTTTATTGACTTGTAAAAAAAAAATCTTTCGTTTAACTTATTACATAAAGAAATTGAGGCTTTCTGGTATAAGTCAACTGCTTCTTTTACAATTTATTAATTCCTGCATTTTACCTATTCCTCCTCTCTGTTGTTCCCCATTAATCTTTCCTGGTCTTCTTAAAAAGGACTATGTTATGTTGCGTAGGGCTTTGAAGGCCGTCAGCAAGGTGAGTGGTGTGTCTCTGGCTCAACTGATTAATACTGTAGTTGATCGACATATAAATTCCTGCAGGCTACTAGCTACAGAAATTTTAACTGACAGTGAGCATCTACTTCATTTACAGCTCTCTCTATGTATCTCCTCAGGAAGGACAAGAAGAAACTACATAAGACTGTATGCTCGTACAGCTCAGTATAAGAATTCGACTGTACCTTACCTTGCACGTATATTTTGTGAGGAAAAAAATGTTAGAACAGAAATCACACATCAACTTTGTGACAGTTAAAAATCTCATTTCAATAATTCAGCTAGCAATCCAAAATTTTCTCGTTTTTAATATTCTTCACATAACTTAAATTTTTATAATAAAACAATTCGAAAGGCTACTAAGTAGTATGTATATACAGATATATTTTGTTGTTATTGCAATATATATTACACTGAGAATTCAAAATCGTACCACAAATTGTTTGGAATAAAGTGAATTATTATTATTATCATTATTATTATTATTGTATGATAGACATTTCGTCATTATCACAACAACACATTTCATGCTAACTGTAAAATAAATAACAAGTTAAAGTAATACATACTTTTTATTCCTCAAAAATGTTCAAAATCATTGAATTACTTATTCAATTACTTTTTATTATCTTTCTCAATAATCTACCAGTATCATAGTACTTTTTTTCTCTTTTGGTTTTCATAACTCATTTCTACTAACTAATAGAATGGTATATTTCATTATATGATGAAATATTCATTAATCTAGGCATATATGAATAAGAGTATTAACAAAGTATGGAATTGAATACAATTATGTAATATTCATGTGATATTTTCATTTGAAATCATAATTTAATATTGGCAGAAGATTTCCTTTTCTTTCTATTCTTATTGTGTAAATTATAACCTTGTTCAAGGTCACTATGCTTGATTTCTATTCGCATTCAAGGTGTTCAATATTTGAGAATGAATGAATCAGTACTGAAAATAAATGCTAAAACAAATGAATTAGAAACAGTTACTGAGGAACCAATTATAAGAAATAAAACTTTCAAAGAATATAAAGAAGAACAAAAAAGGTATGATAATAATGATGATATTGATAATAAACACAGTCAAGAAAGGAATTCTCGTTTAGATACAATATCTAAGGCACAAGGTGTCAAACGATTGTCTTTATCAAGAAATTCAGGTAAGATGCTTCATTGGGGAGTCATTATTATTATTCGTCCCTCTGGTCTTCTTAACCTGGCTCCATGACTGCCCACAAGTTCTCATTTCTTCTTCGCACGATCTCTTCCATGTCACCCTCACCTTGAACGCCAAACTCTCCGTTTCCCATCTGCTGTCCTCTCGAGGCACTGGCGCGTGATGTGTCCGAATGGTATTCTCAAAGCATGCCCGATCTATCTCCACTTCCTTCCAATGCATATTTGTTCAACGATAGGCTCTTGCTTCGTTGGTTCCTTGCCAGGCAGCCACCCAGTATCGAGTGAGCGTAGACAGCAGCTGTTGGTGAATATCTGTAGTCTCTTGGAAATGCATTTCGTAATGTGCCAAGTCTCTCAACCATCACATAGAACCACTGACTCACTTGACTCAATTAGTATTGAAAATCCACATCTTGTTCCACATGTTGAGTGCAGTGCACAAGATCTCTACACTGCTTTCAGGTTAATCAACGCCTTTCCTGCTATCTTTCCGATCCTGGCTACTTTGACATCCTCATGAGTGCCACTGCCTGTAGTTGAGACAATGCTGCCTAGATAGGTGAAGGAGGCTACTTCCTTCACATTTCTCCCGTTGATGGTGATCGGTATTTGTTGTTGTTGTTGTTGGATGGTTATCATCATCACCTCTGTCTTCTCTACTTCCACCTGAAGGAAGTCCCATCCTCGCTGCTCTGCCCTGGTCTGCCCTGCCCTGTCCTCCCTCACCTCTTCTGTCAACTTGTTAGTTTTCACCTGTAGATCTTCCAGTTTGTGCGACATTAGATACAAGTCATCGGTGGCGAAATCCAAGTTTTCTAGGTTCCTTTCCCTGGTCCAGCGTATTCCCCTGTTCTCACTCCTCACTGTTTGTTGCATGATGCAGTCCAGTCCACCACAATCACGAAGATCACCGGTGATACCAGACTGCAACCTTGTACCGTCTTACTCCTGTCTTCACTTCAAAAGCATCACTGAGCTTCCCATTGTGAATTACTCACCTGGTATGTGGCGTCTTCATATACTTGTTGAATGAGGTTGATAAAGGTTTGTGGTATTCCGTAGTGTTGAAGCAACTGCCTGCCAAATTACCTGTCAGTCAACGCTGTCAAAGGCCTTCTCAAAGTCGATGAAGTTGAGGTAAAGGATCGAGTTGACTGCCATTCTATACTCTGTTGTATGATGATGCGAAGTGCAGCGTTGCAATTTGGTCGGCACATGATTTGTTCTTCCTGAATCCAGCCAGCCAGCCTGTTCCACTTGTAGTTTTGAATCCAGCGCATCCTTTAGTCTCTCCAGGATGATGCGGTCTAATATTTTACTTGCTTTGGGTGTACAGGAGCGTGATTCCTCATCAGTTCTTGCAAACATTTAGGTCGCCGTTCTTCGGGAGTTTGACAAGGTAGCCCATCTTGCAATCAGTTGGCAGGTACCTTTCCTTCCTTCCAGACCTTCTGCAATAATGGTGTGAGTATGTCATAAACTTTCAGTATTAAGAAAAAAATACTGTCGATGAGGTTTGCTTTGCATTGACAAGCTAACCGACTAAGCTTAAAGATGGTATGAATTTGATAGTGGATGATTGCAGATAATCGTCAACAGGGTTCGGTTTCAATCAGTCATCTTGTCCACTGGTAGTCCTCAGCTTCTGCTAGATTTGATATGTTATCATAGATTCGAAGTAACAACACTTAATCACTGATGAAATAATGGAAAAGATTTGTAGATCAAGATGAAGATGGTGGTGATTTTAATGTTCTCTGAGCTTTGATATTTTATCGTGGACGTTGACATCTTTAGTTCTAACTTCGTAAAGACGTCTCTTCACCTTTTTACAAAGCTTCAGTATGTTTTGGCTTTTAAGAATGAAGTTCATATTGAAGATATCAACAAGCCTGATGATGAAACGTCTACAACAAAACATGAAAGCCCAGAGAACATCAAATTACCATTATCAATCACCTAGATTAACACAGACAAACAACTGCTTACAATCTTGCAAAGGGAATGCTCCAACATGTCTCTTAATGCTAACAATTAGCAGTTAAATTCATTACTTCTCCGCTTTATTATCATTTTCCTTCCAACTCCATTTCTATTATTAGCTTTTAAGCAGTATATGCGATTTCCAAAAGTAATAGTTGAAAATAACACCTGAGATGACTTCAGATGTTTCACATCGTTTAAATATCACCAAGATGATTTGAAGTGGGACAAGAAGTCCTTCCTGAGTAGTCAGTATAAGGAATTCACATAGCAGTCAAAAGAAACCCTTTGGTGACTATTGAGGAGTTAAAATGTGGTCAGCAAACCAGTCTCATGTCTTAGTTGATGGAGCAGCCGAGTGAAAATCTGGAGATTTCTGTTTTAATTCCATTCCACCTTCAATCATCACCTGGTGTAAAAATCTTGTCACAGTTTTCTTCAAAAATTCATCAGTTTTTCACTTTTCAAATGCTTAGCTAGAATTACAGACTCTTGTATTGGCTGAATAATCTATTACCACCAAACTTATGTTTGATTTTCAGTACATATCCCATTCTAGATCAGAAACTAATCACATACCAGCTAACTGTTCAACATTATTACCCTTAATAGTCCTACCATTATCATCACTCAAATACATTTCGGTGGAATATTTTGTTCTGGTAGTGAACTTAATGAGAATTCCACACTGTATAAAACATGCTGTTTGCAATAAAGGGGGATTATTATTATGCATCGTATATTAACAGCCTATTATACATAGGTCATCCAGTTTCAGAATGTAATTTTGCAAAGACTCATTAGATATGTAAGCGTTTGTCTATCATCTTGACAATGGAATTTATAGTTGATCAGGTAACAAATAATATGAAAAATTAGGTCTATAATTATATGGAAGCACCTACATAAAAAAGGAGAACAAAATTTCCCCAACATAGTAATTTAATCGGAATGTCAATAAACACAGTTTGTCCTAAAATAGGGTCACTTGAAAAGAGTGATACTGGATGGGATAAACTACAAATACAGTTTTCGTAACGAGATATGAAGATGGAATTGCTTGTATTATACCAACGTTGACTGGGACGAATTGATCGGTCTCTATTGACATATCAGCTACTGCGTGAATGCCTCCATATTGCGTGCCTGTGTTTTAATTATGCATAGTAATGATGGATGATGGCTAACAGTGGAGTCTATGACTGGATTCGTCAGCTGGATGTATATGTCTCCCAGCGAGTGATGTCCCCACCAGGACTCGAACCCGGGACGGACCTGTTCAGACATCAGAGGGTTATCCACTAGACCACGATAGCCGCTTTATGTGCGATGGGTATAGTTTTAGTATTATTGCTTGTATTATACCGTCGTTGAAGGAGTGGATGATGTAATAACGATGAGGTTTGAAAGATATTATTACTCAGTAGATTGATAATAAGTGATGAGTTTTCTGCAAAAGTTTACCGAAAACCAACCTATTCTGCCGAGTGTCAGGTGGTAGCAGAGACAGGAAAAACACAGTAGAAACGAGCCACTGTATATTTTCAAGTAATTGAGAACACATATATTATGAAAAGTGGACAAAATAAGGAGAATGACATTTCTTTCAATTGACGGGTTCATAGGAAGTATTTATATAGCCTCCATAGACTTCATAAGCAATAATGATTTTAGTTTCCGTTAACTTCCGCGTACATGTGGTTGGTTGTGGCTAGCAGAGTAATCCAGGACGTGCTTTTCGTCCTACTTAGCACTCGTCAGCCGGATATACTTGCATTCCAGATTTAAGATAACAAAATAACAAAACAATAGAATGTTCATTCTGTGGTAAAAACCTCAACGAATGACATTTGATTTCAAATGTACTCAGTTAATGAAGGAAACTTTGCGAAAACATTTTTACCGTAGTGTTAATTTTCTTACTTATTCTCGTTTAACCTGGAGGATGTTGCCACTTTCACTCTTTTTTATACCTTCAGTTGTATACTACTTTGCATTAGTAAGTAGTATAAATCATATTTCTTTATAACGTCACCACCACGAGCAACGTGACTGTTCATTCCGTTTAATCGTATGTTATTCACCACTTAACATCCCTAGATATTTGTATCTTTCCCCAGTTCGTGGGTTTGTTGTAATTACTTTCGTTATTCCTGGACGTTCTATTTTACTTTGAATATTAGTTTATCTTGTGTCTTTACCTCATCATGGGAAATTGCGCGCACCACCTTGAGTCGAGGTCTGCATTTTATGGGTCAAAATTGTTTATTAATATGGAACCGTATTTCAGACGAATCCTGTGTTCTTAATTTTACGTGTAACTCGAGCGTTTGGTTGAAGAGTAGCTTGTTTGCTTTGGTTCCAAGTATCTTGGAGAGGAACCTTGGGAAACTTGGGAGTAGTGGATAGCTTCTACGTCCTGATATGGGACTGCTTAGCAGGATGCACCCAGGACCATGCCTTATCAGGGATCAAACCCAGGGTATGCAGATCCAGTGGTCACTGCTTAACCATTGATTCACTGGGTCATAATCCAATGCTCCATATTTTCTGATTCTATCGGTTCACAATAGAAGGTGACTATCCACCAAGGTCTGTGGTTCGCATTCACTTCACTTCCAACTGGTTGACCTCACATCACTAGTCACGACTTATCATTGGAACTTTAGAAGTATATCACTAATGAACACCATACATCAATGTAGTTTGAGGTTTAAGGAGATTACATTTTTAAAGGTAGTATTTATAACAGAATGATATCAGTGTGAAAACTACTGAAAAGCTAGGAGCACTGAACATCAGTTTCGTCCTAACATGGGACTCCTCAGGAGTATTTATAAACTTCAAGCTACTTTCAGCAAATATATTTGCAATGTTGAGTAAACTTAGGAGGCGATGTGATGTGCATCAGAATTTTAATAAATGAACTGAATACCGAAAATCTTCATATCATTCAGGCACAAAACTGAGCATTTATCTCCTAATAGAAGTCAAAGGAAGACTAAACTAGATTTGAAACAGGATGAAATACTCATAATCAGTGAAATTTCACCCTTTTTCTTAATAATCATTATATTTCATAAATACTCGTCAGCCGTATAATAATCATTGGCCTGTAAAATATTTCAAAATTTGGAAATCAACAATTATGGTCCCCAAAGGAGTGAAAGGTTAACTACCCTCTTCTACTGTAAGCAAAATTCAGGTTGAAGGCGTTTTAAAACAATCACTTTGGTGAAACGTCATAATCTAGACATTTTCTGTACTTTTATCATTATTTTAAAAGCAATCGAGGTTTCTACCTGATATCCTGTGTCTATTATGTGTTTGACAATTTCACTGGTTAACATTTTACTTCCTTTGAAGCTTACATTCTTGGCGATATACACAGTGAACTGAATTAATGGTCTTTTCTCTCATCTTCCTTGCTTTGTTCAAGTTTATCAACAGATCTAGAATTTAAATTGTATTGACTAGTGTTTCACTTTTTCCTTTTTCTCATTAGTTACAGGACAAGTTCAACCTCAAACGCCTGCTAGTTGTCCAAATCGTTCACCATTATCTTGTATGAATGTTTCTATCAATGAGCCAATGTCTGCAGTTGAGAAAACAAATAAACTTCTCATGTTTCATGAAGGTGATAATCCAACAGGCAGTGGCGGCGGTAGTAGTAGTATTGGTAGAAAGATTAGTCGAAATCTTCCTTCATTATCATCAGCTATGAACACTAGTCGACCACCGTTATCAATGTTAAGCATCCTAGCGGCAAAAAGAATTACACGTAAATTCTTGTCCACATTTGCAGATGATAAATACCATCGAGATTTAAATGCATTCAGTAGATTATGTAAGTTGTATTTATACAAAATGGAATTCATAATCTTCATATACGAGCGAAATTATTATGTGACATTATAAATATTACAATTATATCCATATAGTATTGAGATGTTTATGAAATAGCAGTTCATCATAATCCATCCAACGTAGCTAACGTAACAAAAATCGCTTCTCCAGTCGGAGCGAATCAACCTATCAAAACAAGGCGACTTTCATTAATTCATTTGGATAAAGAGTGAACCAATCATAAGGAAGCGACCTCATAGTACTGCAAGCAAACAAAAGAAGTTGACTAATCACGTAGTTGCACACACATACTTAAGAAAACTAGACGCAGATGATGTCTATGGTGACGTTGAAATGTTTGCCAACTGGAACCTTGGCTCAGAGAATAAATTACTCTAAACGTCTTCACCATGAACTACAAATATTGATCACGTTTCGAATTACCAAAATCTGCTAGTGTACAACATAACTATCAAAAGTAGGAAGGTGAAAGAAGAGAACAGGTAGATAAAGAAAAAGGTATAAAGACCAGTCACATGTGCTTACATGGATAAAGTCATTGCGTGCAGAGATATAGCCGAGCACATCTCTAACCATGACTAAGTTAAGTTTTTGTACTCTGTTGTTCCAATCGACTCACCTTACAATCATTGCTGCAAGGGATTTGTTAAACCAGATTATTTTGCTTAATTGCATCAATTGGATCTTTCAACCTACAAAGCTTGTTTCTAAGCGAGTTTGTTGGGTTAAATGCCACTTTAACCCCAGTCAACCTAACTGAAAATTCTTCATAATGCTTCCAAGGTGCCTTCCTTGTATAATAATACAGTAGAGGCTTCGAATTCTCTCTCAACCCTGTCGCCATTATTATGGTTAGTAGTAGAATTATTATTAATAACACCTATATTAGTACTACTACTACCACTACTAATATTTTTCTTTCGATTTCTTATGAATTTATTTATAAACTTTGGTGAGTAGTTATTGAGACGCAAGGTATTCTTGATGTGTCCAGTTTCTGGTCATCGATTTTTTGGTCTACTAGTAAGCTTTCTCGCCCTATCACTCAAGCATTTAACTCAGCCTGGGATGGGAGGATTTGAAGTCTAAGTACCGATTCGAATGGGAAGGTTTTCTATAGACACTAGTCTCAAAAGTTTCATCTAATGTTCGCTTAATCTCGCAATCCAACATTTCTAGCTCAACTTCATCACTTCCTAAATCATAAATAAATTGGACTGCTTTCACTACTGAATTTATTTATATCTGCTAAGAATCTATTACTGATGTCTTCCGTTCTCAGTACTGTAAACGTATGATCATCCCACTCATTCTATCTTTTCATACGTGTTCTATACATGTAAGAGAAATCAGTCTGTATTCTAAAATGTATATGAATACTAACAACCTTAAGGTCGCTGGTTCGAGTCCCGCCACGACCCAAATTTCCATTTTACCTTCACCTATCACTTAGTATCAATGGAACTTTTTCTCATGAATTTTTAGAAGGCAATCAGTGGCCATTTGCATTTCGGTTCTTTATTATTATTATTATTATTATTATTATTATTATTATTATTATTATTATTATTATTATTATTATTATTTGTCGCTTGGGTTCATAGTGGAACATACGACATCAGTAGCACGTCTCCATTGCACTCTCTTCTCTGCAGTCTTCTTAACTTGGTTCCACCACTGCCCACAAGTTTTCATTTCTTCCTTATACCATCTCCTCTATATCGTTTCGCATCTGGGTTACACTCAATGGCCTGGCCTGGCTAGTGATGTCCCTGAATAGTCTTCTCAGGGCATGTCCAATCCATCTCCACTTCCTTCTGTATATTTGTTGGGTTCTTGATTGGTTGGTTCCCAGAGTTCCTTGTTGCTTATTCTTATTATTCTGGCCACCTGAGCTTCATTCAGTAGCGAGCGTACATGGCAATTGTTGATGTGATCTATAGTTGGATGTCATAGACGAGTTGATAGAGTACCAAGTGAGTAACTCACAGGCCATTGTTTTCAATTCTAATGCTATCCAGATTCTTATTCCACCTTCAATCACCACTTAGTATCAATTGAAGATCAGCTGAACATTATCATTCGAAAAATTGTTTATAGGAGAATGTAAGATAAGTGACAGCTTCATACACAGAGATTCAGTCAACAATGACCATGTAACTTTCCCATAGTCTTCTTTCAAAATTCTATGCAAAATCAAACTGAATGACTTAAAATATATGCAGATTGGTTGGTTATAGTATAACAAAAGCGTCATTAATCTACTAGTTAGTACCTAACAATGCGTATATAACAGGTACATCTAAACTTTTATTTTGCTGTGGTTGTAATCTTCCATTAATTTTCTTCATTACTTTACTATTCATCTTCTTCCTATCGATTGATTATTCCTATCATTTCTTCTTTATAATTTGCCTTCCTAAGTATACACAGGCTACCTGATTATTAGTATTAATATGGTATTCATTATGATTAACGATACACTTTGCCTATGCACCTTATGATTGCGTAGTCTCTTTTTGTAATTCTATACACGATTTGTTATATCCAACTAGAAAAATTCTTGTTGATGATGACCAATACTCTCAGTTCTAGGAACTCCAACATACAACATATGTAAAGAACTTTCAAGAAAACTGAAACACTTCATTCAATCATGCGAACACTCCATCAAATCACCAACAGAATTCTTAGAAAAGATCAAAATCATTAATGTAGAAAATGATGAATTAATGGTTTCCTTCGATGTCACACACACACACACACACACACACAAACATAGCATTACACACAACCATCATAGCACAATTTGCCAAGGAAACTAAGTCCCTCATGCTCACTGAAGACACAAGACTCTCACAACGCATAAAACTCAAATGTTCAATTCTCATGGAACTCATTGAATTTTGTCTGACAACATACATCCAATTCAATGACAAGATATACTAAGAGATGAAAAGAAGGACTGCAATGCAGTCACTGATATCCAAACTAATTGCAAAGGCAGTGATGCAGACACTGCAACCCATCATCCTACCTGTGATACAACCAAGAATTTGGATTCGCTATGCAGACGATCACTAACAACTCCAACAACAACAACAAACCCCAGTCACCATCAACGGGAGAAACTTAAAGGAAGTAACCTCCTTCACCTATCTAGGAAGCACTGTTTCAACTACAGGCACAGACGAGGATGTCAAAGTCAGAATCGGAAAAGCAAGACAGGCCTTCCTTCATTAGCCTGAAACCAGTGTGGAGATCTTCTACACTCAGCATGTGGAACAATATCCGGATTTTCAACACCAACGTCAAGTCAGTGCTTGTGTATGGTTCAGAGACTTGGCGCGCCACGAAAGGGATTTCCAATAAACTACAGACATTCATCAACAACTGCTTACGCTCGCTGCTGAAGATCAGATGGATTGCCAGAAAGAATAAGCAACAAGGAACTCTGGGAACGAACCAATCAAGAACCTATCACGCAACAAATATGCAGGAGGAAGTGGAGATGGATTGGCCATGCACTGAGAAGGCCGACTGAGGACATCACGTGTCAGGCCCTCGAGTGGAATCCCCATGGGAAGCGACGAGTTGGACGTCCGAGGGTGACATGGAGGAGGTCGTGCGAGGAGGAAATGAGAGGTTGTGGGCTGTCGTGGAGCCAGGTTCAAAAGATTTCGGAGGACAGAGTTCACTGGAGACGTGCTACTGAGGCCCTATGTTCCATTAGGAACCCAAGGGACTAATAATAATAATAATAATGCAGACGATACTTTTATCATCATTCAAATAAATGATACAGAAAACATTCACACTTTGATCAACAACCTTTTCGATGACATCTAATTCACAATGAAGAATGAGTCAAACAACCAACTATCATTCCTGGATGTTCTAGTCGGTAGGACAAATGCCGGAAAATTGAAAATCCAAGTGTATACGAAGCTGACACACACGGATCAAATCCTCAACTACAGTAACAACAACCCAACAACACACAAAATTAGTTGCATGCAGACTCCACTCAAAGGATGACAACACACTGCAGTACAACAACTTCACACAATAAACGAAGAAAACTACTTGACGTTCACCCTAAAGAAGAACGGCTACACACAAAACTTTATCACACCATGCCTATCCTATACAACATCAACTACAAAGTCATCAACAGAAATCAATAAATGCATCATCCTACATCAGTCAGTACATAAGGAATATATCAGAAACCATGACATGATTACTGAGACCACTTGACGGAATTCGTGTGGCCACTCATAAACCAACAAATTTCCTCCAAACCACATTATGCACACCAAAGGATGCAACAAACAAAGAAGATAAATCGAATATCATTTATGAGATCAACTGTAATAACTGTGGTGAACACTGAATTGGAGAAAGTGATCGCCCTCTTCACCTTCATCTATATGAACATCGATTGGCTATAATAAGTCACACACACAACATTTCATCACTCATTTCAATGCATGTGGAAAGTAACTATGTACATGAATTGAATTTTGACAATGTAGAAATTTTGGATGGAAAGAGGAAACACAAAGAAAATGATTAGAGAATTTCTAGGTTTCACGGTGAATGCGTTAACCATTCAGCCATTGGGTTGGTTTCCAGTGGTTCACAATTTCCAACTTCTGTCAATTCACGACATAGCGCGACTGTCACCCAAGTTGTTCAGTTAGCATCCACTTCATTCCCGACTGGTTGACCCCACAGGTCATGGCTTCTCATAGTCACACTATGTTGTGAATTGACAGAAGTTGGAAATTGTGAACCACTGGAAAACAACTCAGTGGCTGAATGGTTAATGCGTTCACCGTGAAACTTGAAAGTCCTGAGTTCGATCCCTAGACTGGTGGTGGGTGCGCACTGCTGAGGAGTCCCATACTAGGAAGCAATAGCTGTCCAGTGCTCCCAGATTTTCAATGCTTCCCCAACTGATGTCACTCCATGATGAATACTACTTCTAAATTAAAAATCCCCATTCATCTCAAAAATCCAGAATTCCTAGATGTTTGGCATTCAGGTCAGTGAGTGAGTGAGTGAGTGAGTGAGTGAGTGAGTGAGTGAGTGAGTCAGTCAGTCAGTCAGTCAGTCAGTCAGTCAGTCAGTCAGTCAGTCAGTCAGTCAGTCAGTCAGTCAGTCAGTCAGTCAGTCAGTCAGTCAGTCACTTAGTCAGTCAGTCAGCAATCAATGAAGAGATGTTAACACACAGACTCAATTTATCAGCCAGTGAGAAAAATGATAAACCTCAAAAGGGTTAGAGGTTAAGTAGAAGAACAACTAAGAAGATAATGTGTAGAGTCAACGACACGACAGTCAGTGGAAACGAGGAATGACAAAGGAGTTTGTCAGGGCAAGCTACTAAATCACTGATGGAGAGATAATGACAGTTTGCTTCATACTGAAGTTAATGTTGATGATGTTGTGTAGCGAGAGGATGACAGGTTGACGATTAAATAATCCAGGTAAGATAATACAATACAACCAAGACAATGCACCTGAGCCATGGATATTTTCCACGATTCTAGATACTTTTGAATCGGCCTAATGATACACGGAGTCTATGACTTGTGTCTACATTACATCTAGGGAAAATGTTTCTACATTTTTTTTTAAGTAAATGATAAGTCCACTTCACAATTCAACTGTATATTTATTTCCTCTAAACAAAAGTCCAAATAATTATGATTAGTTTAGTTGCTAGGTTGACTATAGTTGTCGAATGAGTTTCCTTTATCGATATTATTGACAAAAAGTTACTAACAGTGGAGTCAAAGACGCAAGTTTTACCCTATTTTGAACTAGGCAGCTGCATATATCTGTCTCCCACTTACTTAGACTCGAACCCAGGACCAATAGCCTACTCTGACAGTAGCCGATTACTTCTGTCCAATCAGTGACAGACAGTCAAAAGGTATAACATTAAAAAAATGAAATTTCTTTAATCACTTACTATTTTTTACTAAATTTTCAAATGGTTGTTTTTCTATTCAGCTTCTTTTAGTCCAGCATCATTTAATGTAGTCAGTTTTCTGCCAACTTATCAACTTGGCCCTAAAGAAGTATTCAATGTGACCAGTGTACAATCTGTAATTGAACAACTGATGAATACTCGTATTGAATCTCTACCATCAATTTATGATGAAAAAAAAGCCAATCGATTGTGTACTACACTTGGTAATGAAATTAAAGCTCTATTAAAAACTTATGGGAAAGATCGGTAGGTATCTCAGTAACTTTTTTACAGAAAGAATTGTTATTGTTGATTATCTGAGTCAAATTGATCCTTTGCTTTTCATGTTATTACCTTGTAAATGGCCTATCGCTGATTGTACCCAGATAGTCAACGACTACTGGCATAGAGATTCAGGTATGAACGCCTCAGTATTGCCAATATTTTCGCTTCTCATATTCTTGATGAACAGTGGCTAGCTGTGGGATCTAAGATATGCATTTCGTCCTATTTTGGACTCGTCAGCTGAATGTATCTGCCTTCCAATGAGCGATGTTGTTCTAACTAGGACTCGAAACCGAAACTCATCAGTTCAAACCTCATCGCGTTATCCACTAGACCAGTGAGTTACATAAGCCACTTTTAGTACGATATGTATAGTAAAACGTTTGATGTTATAGCTATCGAACTTGAAGATATCTACAACATCGAGGCATCCACGCAGGGGCCCACATCTTAAAAGTGTCCCATCAGCTTAGTACAATGAATGATGGAGATTCCCGAACTACAACACCAAAGACTTTACTATATCTGTCACAGAAGGAGTCATTGACCAAGAAGATAAAGCTGTGGCATTTGAAGTGATCGGTCCTGGGCTGAAGTCTTAGTAGGAAGAATAACACTCACTGACAGGCCGACACATCAATTTGACGACTTCCAAAATACAACAAAACGCATATCCTTGATCCCACTATACACCATTAAAATCAAATTAACCCATTACTGTTCACATATGGCTGTCTGTTGAAGCACTACATTCTATATTCTAATGAGTGTTGAATGAGACGAAACCAACGTTCTGCATTTCAGTGTTAATGAATGTTGAGCAGCTCTAAATATCGCCTACTAACGAATGTGTTGGGCACCTCGACTTCTGCTAACCGTCAGTGAGTATACGTATGGAACCTTACATTACTGTGTAACAATACAAATTCCAACAGGTGACCCAAGTACATCGATACACAAGGCAGTAAGATGAAAGATTAAGAAAACAGAGAAAAAGATGTTGACAAAATAAGAAGAACCAGTATAAGATTGAAACTAGTACACTGTGGTAGATTGTAATTCCACTAGAGTTTGTTTACTGGATATGCTACACTCTGAAACAGTATTACTTACTGGGTGTAGCAAATAATCACACTTTCAATAAGGTATTGCTTGTATTCAACCAAATTGGCCGGTCTCTATTGGCATATGGGTCTCCGCACAGATGCTTCAATATTGCCAGTATTTTTGATTTCGATATAAACGATACGCAGTAGTTAGCAGTGGAATCCAAGACGCGCGTTTCGTCCTTTTTTGAACTCATCAGCTAGATTGTACTTGGATTTCCGTGGGCTGTGTTGTTCTCTCCAGAACTCGAGCCCGGGACAGATCGCTTCAGATACAATGGGGTTATGTACTACGCCACTGAGTCACGATAGCCATTTCTTTTCTTATGCTACGGGTATACTTTTATATAATGTTTCATGCATTATCCCGTCCTTTGATTCCTTCCTGGATTCCACAGCCAACCGCTATCTATCATTAATATGAAAATCGAAAATACAGGCAACATCGAGGCATCCGCATAGGTGCCAATAGAGATCGATCAATCCAGTCCAACCAGCATTGGGATAATACAAGCAACATCATATAAAACTATACCGGTCGTACAAGGAGTGCTTATGGTAACTCGGTGTCTTAGTGGATAACACATTTGAAGTTTCAAGTGATCGGTCCCTGGTTCAATCATAGTGGGAACAACATCGCTTACTGAGAAGCAGGCATATCCAGCTGAAGAGTTCCAAAGATAACGAAACGTGCATCCTGGATTCCACTCTCAGCCGTTATTCATCGTTTATATCAGAATTACTCTGTCCTATTGGATATCGTAATAATAATAATAATAATAATAATAATAATAATCGCTTTATTCTAAACAGCATGTATGATACAGTATGGAATTTTCAGCATAGAATCTTTTCACAAGTTACCTTTCCATACAAATTTTTTTAAGGATAAAATTATTACTTCTGCATAGTGTTAATAATAACATTACTGAAGGCAACAGTGTGAAATGAGCAACTGATACGACATTAGCGTCTGTTCTCCATTCGGAAATCAACACAAAATAGAGTGTAGTTTTGATGCTGGTAGTTCAGTCAGCCAGCATAGAAATTCATAATCCTATACAAGTATTCTAGGAATAGTAATATGGTATATTTTTGAGCATTAACAAATCCATTTCAAAACAGTGGAAAGTTTTTCTTTTGTTTTCTTCTTAACAAAAGTTCTAAAACACTTTAAAAATGTGCAAGAGCACATGATGCGTTCAGAAACAGATTCAGATTTGTTGTTTGAGGATAGGAGGCTGGAAGCCCATGTTAATTCGTTTCCAGTAGATTTCTGTGCTTGTCCAATCCCCTTTTGAACGAGTCAGTTGATGATGCGGACAACACTTCCTCTGGGACGCGGTTACAGACGTTGATTACCCCACGCGAGAACAAGTACTCTGTGGAGACCACGTTAGTTCCCTGCTTTCGTAGTCCCCTACCATATCCTCTGAGGTGTTCCAACATAGTGGGAAGGAAAACGGAAGATAGATCAAGCCCGGAGTCATTTCTTAGAATCCTGTGTAGCATGATTAGGTCTCCCCTCTGTCTGCGATAGGACAAGGTGAAGAGGTTCAGCTCCTTAAGTCGGTCTTCAAAGGTGAGGGTAGCGATCACAGGTGTCATACGAGTGGCTACCCTCTGAACTCTTTCTACGAGGTCTGTGTCACCTTCCAGACAAGGACTAGCCACCTGTGTACAGTTTTCTAATTTAGACCTAACTAAGGATGTGTATAAGATGGTGAACATGTTACCACTTATTTTCGTAAACGTTCAACGTGATGCCCGAAGTGTCCTAAAACTCCGAGCAGCTACCAATCGATAGTGAATCGTGGTCTTCAAGTCATAACTCTCTGTGATTCGTGGGTCATTGTGGGTGAGTACTGACGGTAGAGGATCCCCATCAACATTGTAGGTGTTGCTGTGTATGTGCCCCAAGTCCATGCTCATACATTTACCTGCATTGACAGGCATCAGACACTACTCTGACCAAGTAAACAAGCTGTCTGAAGGTCTATCTGAAACCCACGTATATTCTCATTGTTCCTAATCTCCCTTGAGATTTTTACTTCATCAGCGTAGAGAAAGATAGGGGATTTCGTGATATTTGGTAGATCATTTACGTATAGGAGAAACAGTAGGGGGCCCAGGACTATGCCTTGCAGCACTCCACTCTCTACCGACTTCCAACTGCAGAGTTGAGAATTGATCCTGACTCTTTGTCTCTTTGTCTCTTATCCATGCAAGCAGATTGCCAATGATTCCAAAACTTCCCAGTTTTCGGAGCAACTATTTAAAAGATTAAAACGAACTGAAAGAGAAGAATTTGATGGAATATAATTGGTGGAAAAGTTTTTGGTAACCCAAGATTTAAGCAGGCAGCCATCTAATAAATAAATAGATGGATGCATACCAAAAAAAAGACTAAAATGGTTATTAGGACGAAATCATGTGATTACACAATTTCACTTTGATTTGTTTGTGAGCAATGTGTAGGTACAATGAAGTGAATTGATGAAGTTGTGAAATTTTAGTGACTGAAGTGACTTGAACATGTACTACGCATGCTGAGCCACCACATACCTGGACGTGCCATGCTAGGCGAAGTTGGATCAGGTCAAGACTTGCAACAATGCGGGAAATTCTGACTGTTGATATGAGTCGTGTAGTGAAGTGTAAACTGTTTGGCTAAGACCTCCAAGACGACAAGACTCAGTGGTTGATGAGTCTTGGTACTAGATCCAGTAAATAATACTGTTCCATCGTGTGATACATCTAATAAATCAATTAAACTGAAATTACACTCCGCTACTGTGCTCAAGTTTTATACTTATTTTAACAAAACATCTTGGTGAAATGTTAGTGATGGATTACGGCTAAAAGTGGAATCCAGGATGCGCATTTAGTCCTGTTTGGGACTCGTCAGCTAGATGTACCTACTTCCCAGTGAGCAGTGATGTTGTTCCCACAGAGTCCCAAATAGGACGAAATGCACATCCTGGATTCCACTGCTAGCCACGATCTATCATTAACATATTTAGAACGTTGGCAATATCTAGGCATCCCCACAGGAGCCCATATACCAATACAGACCGATCAATTCAGTCCAATCAACCACGGTATCATATAAAAAACCTTATACTATCTTGGTGAAATGGTTGAAAATTAGTTATAGTGATATAGATGCAGTCACTCTGAGGTCTTCTTAAGCTCAAATGTTTCAATAAAACTTGATTTTTAAATTCCTTCCTATCCCATACACCTTTGTCTGCTTTGATGTCACTATCTTTCTATGCACTTACTCTTTGTATACTACTCTAAAGTGTGGTAACTTAAGGTGATGCACTTGTGTTCGAGGTTCTATATTGATTTTTTCTGTATGTCTGTCCATCTATCTGTCTATTTATGTCTGACGTTTCGAATACTACTTATTGTTTATGATCATCTTTGATATGACTATGAACAGTAAATTGTGTTCGAAAAATGATACAATGAATGATATTGCTTCACTGTAGGAAATATTCAGCAAACAACTTATACGTTCACATTTTTATACTACTACTCAACAATTTGAGTAGTTAAAAAGGATTCGGATAAGTATCGCAAACAACAACCATAAAAAATTGAATTATGAATAGAACATAAAATACCATAAAATTGGTGTATGCAAGTTATTGAGAGATCGTAAACTATAAGTTACACATCAAACTCATTGATAATTTATAGGATAGGAATAGATAGATTCAAGAATTTTACAGAGGGATAAACAGTGTCAGGTCACTGGGAGGTAACCAACTTCCTGTTGTCTAGTCCTAAGTGCTCATTGAATTCCAATGATCATTTTGCAATGTGACCACCAAACTAGGCAGCTCGCCATCGCGATGCACTATGATAAATGTTAGTTGGACGGAGGTGATTGTCAAGGAGTCCTGCTTCTCCTAGGTTTCGTGCTGGTTGGTACTCGTCAGCAAGGTATATCCACAAAGTCAAGGGAACTGATATCCCACCTGAGGTTCAAATCTGCACTACCCAGTGTTGTAGATAGCGACGATACCAGTGAGTTATATGGGCAGTGATCGACCTCCTGTAGGATTGGATTCGATAAACTGGTTGGTCACTGGGGTTAAACAACTTCACGTTGTACAGTCTTAAGTGCACTTCTGCGGGACATAAGTTTCATTGAGGTTGCAGATACACCTTTCTGAGGAGTGCCAACAAGCACGAAACTTAGGAGAAGCGGGGCTTCTCGCCAACTATCTCCATCCAAGTAACACCAATCAAGGATTAGGTAACAGTCAAATAAAAGACACCTGTAAGATTGCAAGAAACTCACTGAAGTGAAATCAGTAATCGAGGAAAATAAAGGACTACGCAAGAGAAGTGAAACAGGATTATGGTATATCTGCCTAGGAAGGGATTGATCACAGTCCATTCCAGTATGCCTTGGTTCGGTTGGAGGCATTTTAGGACAATCGAACACCGTTAAGCTTAGCTTTCCATCCATTTTCCGCATATTTATAAGTGAAAAACCGCCAATAACATCTGGTTAGTGTTCAGTATCCATGAAGTATTTGATAATTCCATCGCTTAGAAAACTACTCCACTCGAAACATAAATTCTTTGAAATGTGCTCAAAGAATCGAATACCAGCCCTCTTCTCTGTCCTTTGAATTTACCGTCTACCACAAGTGCACTTCAATGCTTAAATGCAGTTTCATGTGACATCAACAAAATATTGAGCTTCAAGAAGTTAAATTCGTTTTCATTCTGATAAACCCTCGCAAATTTAATGTTAGTCATGAGTCTTCTGGAGTTTGTCAAACACTTGAGATTCATGGTTGCATTGTGTTATCTTACCTGGATCATTTAATCGTCAACCTGTCATCCTCTCGCCAGACAACATCACCAACACTAACTTCCGTATGAAGCAAACTGTCATTATCTCTCCATCAGTGATTTAGTAGCTTGCCCTGACAAACTCCTTTGTCATTCCTCGTTTCCACTGACTATCGTGTCGTTGACTCTACACATCATCTTCTTAGTTGTTCTTCTACTTAACCTCCAACCCTTTTGAGGTTTATCATTTTTCTCATTGGCTGATAAATTGGGTCTATGCGTTAACATCTCTTCATTGATTGCTGACTAACTGACTGACTGACTGACTCACTCACTCACTGACCTGAATGCCAAACATCTAGGAATTCCCTCATCATATTCTTTGTGTTTCCTCCTTCCGTCCAAAATTTCTACATTGTCAAAATTCAATTCATGTACATAGTTACTTTCCACGTACACTGAAATGAGTGATGAAATGTCGTGTGTGACTTATTATAGCTAATTGGTGTTCGTGTAGACGAAGGTGAAGAAGGCGATCACTTTCTCCAATTCAGTGTTCACCACAGTTATTACAGTTGATCTCATAAATGATATTCGATTTGTCTTCTTTGATTCTTGCATCCTTTGGTGTGCATAATGTGGTTTGGAGGGAATTTGTTGGTTTATGAGTGGCCACACGAATTCCGTCAAGTGGTCTCAGTAATCTTGTCATGATTTCTGATATATTCCTTATGTACTGACTGATGTAGGATGATGCATTTATTGATTTCTGTTGATGACTTTGTAGTTGATGTTGTATAGGATAGGCATGGTGTGATAAAGTTTTGTGTGTAGCCGTTCATCATTAGGGTGAACGTTTATTGTGTGAAGTTGTTGTACTGCAGTGTGTTGTCATCCTTTGAGTGGAGTCTGCATGCAACTAATTTTGTGTGTAGTTGGGTTGTTATCACTGTAGTTGAGTATTTGATCAAATGTAGAGAGATCATCAAAACCGAATAGTAGGATCTATCGGGGACTTATTTTGGAGTTTATTGAAGCCTTAGCCATCAGCAGGTTTAAGCCTCCTTGATGCGTGAAGAAACTAATTTGTCATCACATCAAACCTGCCTTGGTAAATTCAACTTTTAATCCAAGGTGGTTATTGTACTATTAATCTTCAGTTGGCCAATATACATTTTCTTACTCCATGACAAGTACGTGTGTGACGAGGTTGTTTGAAATGTGCTGAGCAAACACATTACACGATGCAGACAAATTACGCCTTATCACTATTCTATCAAGCTATCTATCTTACTTAACATGGATTAACACAGATTTCACAGATTCACAGTCTTTTCACCATCATATAGCGAATATCCAGGGAGTATCGAGAAGTCTACATAGGAGCCTATGTGCCAACAGAAGTCAATCATTTCCACTCAGTATAGCAAAAGGAAATTGCAAGCATATTCAAATGAGTGCTGTCAACAATTTCTTAGTGTGTGTTTATTTAATTTTCATGTGATAAAGTTGTTGTTATTGTTCAACATGAAATACAATTCTCCTGGAAAGTATATGAATCGTTTCTGATCAAGTAAGTCACATTCATATTTGTTGTACATTGATAGAATTTGTTGTGTATTGCTCTCTTGTTATTTTTAGCTACCGTTATATAGTATACTGTGTAGTTATGCAGAATTGTAAACAAATGGCTGGATTCACTAATCGTGTCCTCTGGGATATGAACTATGATCGTTGTTTCCATTTAACACAAAATATTTCATCCTATTGTATTTCATTGAGTTGTTTCGCTGTATACAAAGAGTAAATACATATATATATATATATATATATATATATATATATATATATATATACATCCAGTATCCTGGATTTTTCAGCGTTGATAGCATGAACTCACAGTTACTCTTTAAAGGCATATTTAAGTATAAACTAAGAAACAACATGACGTATCACAGGTATAACATACACTTATTCTCTTTCCAAAACGATAGGAATTAGTTGGAGAGAGATAGTTGTAACTGTTCTACGAAAAAAGGAATTACGCGTAAGTATTGGGGTAGTTAGTTTATGATAAGATTTTGACTAAAAGTATTTGTTTACTGTTTGCACAAGTCAGAATGTTAACTTCCTTTACGTAGGCAGAGAATTGTTCCTATTGAATGCGAAACAGCCACCAATTGGAATACTGAAGTTCACTTAATACGGTGTAGTCATCAGATAACCTTATCCAAAGTTAATTCGCATGAGAGACCTTACATACGGTTCAATTTTTCTGAGATTGTTATTATTGAATACGGTGTCATCTTCAAAAGCGATATGGAAAGCTAGGTCACACTAGGGTTCCAACTAGAAACTTCGGCATTATCCTCCTGGTGTCATACCAACTGAGCAATGAGAACCAGTTTCTGTGTCAATAATTATTTGCATTGAGTAGTTAAGATAAGGTCTTAGCGTAATTTTATCAATTTATTTCAGAGATGGTTACTCCCAAAGCAAATGAATAGTCCACTTTCCAAAGAATTCACATGTAATTGTACTTGTTCCAGGCAGGCTCCGTAAACCGAAGTCTGATCATCCAAGTAGTATTACTAGCCCACAGAGACTAGGTAACCTTTCTAAACTAAGTAACTACAACGTCCTTTCTGGGGTCCACGATATAAAATTCGATGAGTAAGGAAATAAAAGACGTTAATCTATCAACAACAACAGCTAACACGTCAAAAAAAATCGAAAACTATTCCGTTTTACAATTTTCTTGGCTATTTCACCTTTCATAACATTGGCTAATCGGAAAAAACATTTATGATGCACACCCGCCTACACCCAACCAAACGACAAGTTCCATCAAGTTCGTATTGTTGGATGCGTCCTCAGTGGCAATACTCCACTTTCGGCGGAAAACATCATTCCTCACTGCGATGTAAGATGACAGTTAGGTCATGAGAGGTAGATATGGTTAGCAGTCAGATTTTGTTGCTTAGTCTATATAAAGTGAACAATCGGTTGCCTAGTTTACCAGTTCAAACGTTTTCAGAGGTTAACCAACACAAAAGTTGACTTATTCAACATTACAAACATGAAAGCTTGACACATTGTCGTATTTATCTGCTGAAGTGCCTTTTTGGTGCTGATCATTGTATTCTGAATCCACTGTATAGTACACAGTCCCAACAGGGGTTAGGTGATCTTTTTTAGACCAAATCAATCAATATGATGTGAGAAATATAACTCCGAACAGAAATAGCCATCTATGAGGAATTCGGTGCACTTACCCTGCTAATATGTATCTTCTAGGTTATTTCACTTCTCTTTGAATCGTCAAAAGTCCTCCACGTTTATTGGTGTACAATAATACTGTAATTTTGTGTTCTGTCGTTACCCGAGATAGGTTATTGTGACAAGATATGACTCAAAGGAGCTCAATTAATCATGGGCCAATAACCCACCTGACAATAACTCTGGGCTTATGTCGAGTAATGTAGAAATTGACTGAAGTTTACTTTAGGCTAGTTTCGGAAACTTCAGGATAGAGCCCAAGTTTCTATGGAAATGGCCGATGCTGCAGTTTTTGAGCATTTATTTATAGTTGGAAAGTATTTCTGACCGTATAATGTGTATAAAAACCCTTCTGAGTCATATTAAGCGCATAGCAGAGGGAAAATAGCTGAAAATCAGAACTTCGGGGTAACTGAGGTATCTAGGGCTACCACGCTTGAATTGCAGATACTTAGGCCACTGCCTGAAGTTTTAAAGGTAGTATAATTTTATAACGAAGACTAATTATACTGATGCTGTAAGAGAGAAATTAGTAACTGGATCCTCCGAATCCAGAGTAAGAACACAATTTCAAGAAGATTATGATGAAAACACAGCATTTCAGTCTGAATGATACCAATGAACATTGAACGCACTTTCGGTTAGGTGAATATGCTTACGAGTGTACTTCCGACCCTATTCACCTTCCAAAGATGTCTGACAGCCGAGATTATTGACCCATGTGAACTGTCTTCTCATAAGCCAACAAAGTAGATACTGAGTTTTTGCTCTTTCACATTCACTTATGAGCTTGGTTTACCAATAGATTTTATGCATCTACTTATCATGACTAGTGCATGATCAGGAGAGTGACCTTTCCTGTTAATGTACCAAAGATATGGATATGCGAAGGTTTCGCCTAATACCCCTGAAATTCAGATATCCCTTATGAAAATTTTAATGTCCCTGACAATATACATGCTGCTGGCGGCATCTATCAAGCGACTTCGACGAGGTCGATGAAGATGCTTCCAGTCTGGTCGATTTTCATATTGGGGTGTCAGTTAGAATAACCATGGGTACCGTCTTGTCACCAGAATACGGTATGAGTTACTCATGGTAGTCAACTACAGTTAAGCCCTTAAAAAAACTTTACTGTCCAAGCTTATCATTAGTGAATATATACACCATTTACAGTATTCTCCCTAGAAATAATTTTTGACTAACACAGACACTGCAGTAATAGTGGCTGACAAAATTGCCTTAGAAATACAATACTGGTTTCACAACAACAGTGACCGAGTAAGGAAACGGCCGAGAGAGGGAAGGAAGTCAAGTTTCGTAGGCCTACTTCGTTCTGTTACCCTTAATTTATAGAACATCTGTAAAGACGTCATGCAGAGTCATAAGCCCCCCGATCAGAGTTGTGCAGATGAGCACAACATGAGAGGTGAAGAAGAGCTGGCGTATGAATCTGACGATGTAGAACAAATCTCGAAGACCGAAATGTTTGGCGGGAATGTAGTTGTATTAATGAAACATATTCCCCGTGACCAATGCGAAAGCCTTCTGATATTCTTCTTGCCGATATTTTTTCCCAGATGGCTGATTAAATATAGAAATGTATGTGTGGCACCTCGGGCAAACTGTAACAGCAGTGATGTATTCGGTCGAAAGCTGTGAGTTAAAATCATGGAATAGTGGAATATCCTACGAATAATTTCAGGGCAAATGAGGGAACTGTGGATTTTTCTGTCGCAAACTTAGGGAACTGCAGAAAGGTCTGCAATAAATATCGGGCTAACTTGGGGTACCGCACAAAAGTCCGCAAAAATACTTCGGGAACTGAGGAAAAAGTGTTGCGCTGCCCAACCGCGACGAACCGATTAAACTTTCCCAACAGTATTAGTAGCAGAGACATTCTGAACGGATGACTAAACCAGCGACCAATTAATCTATTGGCTCGGAACGCAACTTACCTGCAGTAGTTCCACACTACATATTTTCTAGTACTATTAATCAAGTGATCTTTTCATATTAAAGTTAATATGCAACAAATACACCTCTTGAATGATGCAGCTTACGCTAATACAAAGCTAAAAACTGAAGATCGCTCTAAAAAATAGACTGTTATATTAATAAGTAGCAAACTACGCGGATGGACTAACAACGTTGGTTGGCTACAACGCACACTTTGAACACTGCGCGCCTTTGATATTGATAATGGAACCTATCTGTGTGACGGGAAATGAAAATCCATGCTCGTCTCACGAATTTCAGCAAATTTTAATAAGATTATGCACATTAATGACTTGATATGTGAATTATTTAATACTAAATACCAGTTTGTAAGCTTTCAAAAAGAATAAGTTTGACAGTGCTTGTAAACTGGTATCCCTCAAGTTAAACCAATTATATGACCATAATATTCGTTATTATCTAAACTTTAACACTCTATGTAGGCAGAAAAGTGATATTTTTTATTCGTTTCATAACTAGCAGGATCTTCGGCTGTTTTTAATGGAGTTAAATGACATTCCGTCCGTACCACTCAGGATTCGCTAAATCTTATAGATATTTTGAGACATATCGACGTGATGGAGCCTGTAAGCTGCCTTTTCTCACGTCAAACTTTTTTATGCGGGAACAAAACATTCATCTATTTATCAAAGTGATTTAGCTTAGATTCATCCCGACGTTTGCCCTAAATTTATGCCGGCGGGATACTCAAGATGGCTGGAGTTTCTCATCGTAACGTTACAACTTTACTTGCAAAAGTAATAAAAATTGTTTGACAGAAGTGTTTGCCAGACATGCGATATAAAAGCGATAAATGATGTGTCACTTATGAAGTTAATCAACTTAGTAAATGTGTGAGCATTGACTTGGGGCACACACATAGCAACACCTACAATGATGATGGGGATCCTCTACCGTCAGTACTCACCCACAATGACCCACGAATCACAGCGAGTTATGACTTGAAGACCACGATTCACTGTCGGCTGGTAGCTGCTCGGAGTTTTAGGACACTTCGGGCATCACGTTGAACGTTTACGAAAATAAGTGGTAACATGTTCACCATCTTATACACATCCTTAGTTGGGTCTAAATTAGAAAACTGTATACAGGTGGCTAGTCCTTGTCTGGAAGGTGACACAGACCTCGTAGAAAGAGTTCAGAGGGTAGCCACTCGTATGACACCTGTGATCGCTACCCTCACCTATGAAGACAGACTTAAGGAGCTGAACCTCTTCACCTTGTCCTATCGCAGACAGAGGGGAGACCTAATCATGCTATACAGGATTCTAAGAAATGACTTCAGACTTGATTTATCTTCCGTTTTCCTTCCCACTATGTTGGAACACCTCAGAGGACATGGTAGGGGACTACGAAAGCAGGGAACTGATGTAGTCTCCACAGAGTACTTGTTGTCGCGTGGAGTAATCAACACCTGTAACCGGCTCTTAGAAGAAGTGTTGTCCGCATCATTAATTGACGCATTCAAAAG